TGTTATTGGCAAGTTGGAAGTGGGACGTTTCTTACTCGTACCGTGCCTGTTAGCCTCAGAACTGATCATTATTAAATAGCGCATAACAGGCACGAGATTGACTCAACAGGCACGAGATTGACTCAACAGGCACGAGATTGACTCAACAGGCACGAAATTGACTCAACAGGCACGAGATCCTAAAGTTAATATTTTTTAACAGAAAAATCAAATTTATTTGAATTTTAAATTCAAAATTCGAATAAATAGTCGTGTCTGTTTGTGAAACAAGACATCTTTTCTGAAAGGGTCTGTTGGTTGCCTATAAATACACAAGAATTCCAACGAAATGGTATAGAAAAATCACAAATGTTATTGCAGGCTTTGTTGTATCCTGAAGAGAATCGTTTTGTATTTTCCCTAAATTAGTATACAGGCGATAACTCTTTAAGGACAATCGATTTTCACGCCTCAAAGCCAATTTTGTTTATTTTATTTTCTAACAGTTGACGCCTTAAGGAGAACCACTACTGTTGACATTGAGAAAATGATCAATTTGGAAGAATGCTTCATAAGAAAAGTGTTGCTTGCTGTACAGGATTGAATCATGCATGAATTAGTTGAATGCTCCATATCCTCTTCCACTGTTTGAATTCATGTCCAGCTTCTTCATTACCTCGCTATTCCTGGATTTGCTAACACACAAAAAAAAAGAAAAGGAAAAAAAAAGAAAGAAAAGATCACTATATGATATGAATCTACTTTATACTATTTTAGTTTATTATCGTCATAACTCTAAGAAACTTCGTTATCGAAGAAAGAATTAGGAAAATAATTAAGAGGTCAAACCTTATCTCTTCTATCAAGATTTTCCTTGGCGTGTTCGAGCATGTTAATTCCGCACCAAGGTTTCATAAACTGTCGTTAAAGAAATTTAGTTGTCAATGCTTTAGTTTAAGCTAGCGTTTGACTATAGATTTTCAAATTTTGTTTTGAAAAATTTGATTTGGGTGAAATTTGGTTTGAAAATGAAAAAGTGTTTGGACATACGTTTTCAACACATGTTTTCCAAATTTATTTTGGGAAAACATGTATATTATTAGTGTTTCTAAATATTTTGACCCAAAACCAGCTTGAGATTTTGCCAAAATATAGGCAAAATCTATGGTCAAACACGTGTTTGCCAAATAAAATCCAAATTTATTTTGGCAAAATCTATAGCCAAACAGGTACTAAATGTTCTTGCTAAATTTGCAGGTTAAAATAGGTTTTGATCAATTGCATATGTATTTTGCAATTGTTATTGCTAAAAGATAAATTGAGGAATGAATGAAAGACTCAAGCATAACGTACTACGCAGCCTTTGATCTTCATCAAATTTATAATGAACCCCATACGTTTATATTAATTATAAAACTTAATTAGCTTTTAGAGTGTGATACTATATAAAAATCTGATGAGGTTAACTTTGGAAAACGTAAAGCTTTCAATTAAATGCATGTACGTACATAGTAAATTAATTGAAAATTCTTATATATTATATTTACTTTAGATATCAAGAGTCAAGACAAACTATATAGTTTATTTACACACATTAACGTCGAAGCAATAATTTAGTTATTAAAGGGTAAAATAGTCTTTCAACTTCTAGTGGGTATTTTCGTAATTCAATCTTGACTTATAAGTTTCACACTCAATTCTGAATGGTTTGAAGCAGCCCTTGCTTCAATTCGAAATTGTTTGCTGCAATATGAGGTGGTCTAACACTTGATAATCCTTGATTGTAGACCGGTCTAGTATAATCGGCAAGTGGTCTCCCAAGCATGGGAGCTATATTTTCGAACTGGTTTGTAGCCAATGGTTGATTTTTGAGCAATTCTCCGACCCCTCTCTTCTTTATAGATTTGTGCATCTCTAATAGCTGCTTCCTCAGCATCCCATACAGCTTTTTCTTGTTGTTGGGTTGCCTATATATGTTGCAACCAAATCCACATTATCATCATTGTTTCCAGCCATAGTTTCTTTGGTCGAGGATTGCCCAACCTTTTTTGATGTCTCAGTGAGATCTTTTTCTTTCCTCAGCTGTCACAGTTGTTTTTCTATCTCTAGCTCGTATGGTAGCACTTCTTTCGCAGAAGCTCGAGTCATGCACCAATCTTAACCTGTAACCTGCACTCACTCAAAGAACACCAAACGTAAAAAGAGAAAAAAAAAATTCCTGAATTAGCACTACAAACTATTTCAAAGACTATTGATTGCCAATCCCCGACAACGACGCCAAAATTTGACGAGCTCAAAACACACACTTAAGATATGCTCGCTAATCAAACATGGTAAAGTATAATATCGTATCCATAGGGATTGGAGTTAAACAATATTTTTGTAATTTCTAACTTGATTGCTATCCAAGATGATCAACAGTTGAGATTTATGTGATTAATACTAAAATTAACTAAGAATCTAAAGCTATTAACTAATGACAATCGCAACGAGAAATAAGTAAGGAAGGTTGCTAATATTCGTTGATGAAGAGGTAACATTAATTTAATCTGGTATTATATTCATTGGTTGCCACATTAACTCCGTTGGTGACTATTACTTTTCTGTCTTGACAAAGGGAACAAAAATACAAGCTACTCTCTTCAACAAAGATGTTGAGTCGTGGAAAAAAAAAATCGATCAAAATGAAAGCTATTACATTATAAATGGAAAGATAAGCGGGGCAAAACCTAACTTCTTATCTGGGCACAAGGAATTTGAAGTAGCCTTTAACAACCACACCAAGACCGTAAAATGAAATACTGAATTTATGTCTCAACAGTTCTCGAATGGTTTTATTTCTTTTAAAGAGGCAGAAAACTTCTCAGATGAGACTTTCTTCGGTAAATATGTGGATATATTTATTTACTATTGCCACCTATAATTATTAATTATCTTATATTTCATATTCCTTTAGATGTAGTTTGCATAAAAGTTAAAGCACTAACTGGAGAAGGGCGAAGCATAAGGCGAGAAGTAATTGTTACGAACGAAAGATAAGTTAAATATTACTTTGTAGTTGTGGATTAAATATTTACTAGGAACTTCTCTTTCATGTTTTCTTTTTCGATCAGTTGCCACAATACCCAAACTGTCCGAGCTTTTGCCCTCTATATCACTAAGTTTTTCATTCTTCCTCTTAGCCTCTTCAATTTCCTTCTCAAATTTTGAAGAAGGCTTCTTCATAATACTTGCTAGATGATGACCTGAATATCACCAGATTTATCTTGCCTTTGTTGAGCTTCATTCCTGGTCTTTTTGGCTTCTAATATGTCAATTTCAGTTCTCATTAACGGCTTACCAAAAACTTATGTAGGCTTGGAAGTTGTCTTCCCATTAAAATTATAGCCCTTAACTGCTCCGTTTAAAATAGAAAGGTTAGATCCGTCAATAAAATTTTACTATCTTTAGTATTAAGAGAATCTAACTTCTATGATATATAGGTAGGGTGTTCATAAAAACCCGAAAAATCGAACCAAACCGAAAACTAAACCAAACCGATCAAAAAAATCGATACTTTTTGGTTTGGTTTGGTTTTGGTTTTGAATTTTAAAAACCGATCAAAGAGTAGCTATTTCAAATTTATTATTACATCTATATATATGCATATTGTTATACGAAATTTCAAAAAATTTATGGTAAATGTTAATAGTTTGCACTTTTAATATAGTTCTTTACCTTTACATTCTAGTTTGATTGGTAATTTTCTTTTGTTTAGTGTAAGAATCCATTTCGTGTTAAAAATAACATATTTTAATTGAGTCCTTAAATTATTCATCACTATTTGATTCAATTATCATTAATATATTTTGGTAAATAATAGATTTCTCAAAGGGCAATTGATTTGATAGTATTACATTGAAAATGTGGTCGCCAGAATATGTGATTTGATAGTCTTATATTTAAGAAAAAACCGACAAAATAACAGAAAAAATCGAAAAACCGACATAAACCGAATCGAGAAAAACCGATTTAATTGGTTTGATTTAGTTCTAATATTTGATAAATCGACTTACTTGGTTTGGTTTCTTTTTAAGGAAAAATCGATTCAATCCGAACCATAAACACCTCTATATATAGGTATGATCGAAAAACTTTTAGTTTATGGGAGACTTAGCTGAAATTGACAGGGGAAATGTTAGAAATCCTTGAAAGCACCAAACCCGTGATAGCCTTTTGCGATGTTAGAGGGTCTATTTACCAAGGTATAATATTGCACATCTTATCTATTTGCATAATATTTTTAACTATATTAATTTATCACTAAATTTGTTGCTCCTTCCAAAAAGGGGATTTTTTCCTCTCAACGACTCCTGTAAGTAGCATCTTAATCAATCCTAAATTTCAAAAGGCCTAAGATCTCCAGAAATGGTAAATATATTGTTCATTCTGTACTTAGTTATGTGCTACCTGTATTTAGGTAAATATATTTAAAAATATTAAAATAATACTACTATGCAGGTATGATAAAATGAGGGGAGATAAAATAGATATATGTTTAATGCCAAGTAGACTGATGCGAAAAGCCAAAAAATTCAAACTAAGTCATATTATGGATGGATCACTTGGCAATGAGACGGTACATTATCCTACCAAACTATTAGCACGAGGTGTACTATTTTATATGTTTACAATCTAATAAAAAAACTATTAGCACGAGGTATACTATTTTATATGTTTACAATCTAATAAAAAAACTATTAGCACGAGGTATACTATTTTATATGTTTACAATCTAATAAATTATGCACCTGTTAATTTACTTTTAGGAAGTTTATTGTAAGTTCTATGTCATAATTGACGACATCAAAAATAAAGATGACCCGTGGTATTCTCCTTGCAAAAAATGCTCTAGACGAGTGGCTGTAATAAAGAGTACTGCAAGTTGTGACAACTGTATGAGAGATGACATTGATTATGACGAGAGATAAGATACATGAAAAAGTACGAACAATATATTTTCCAGAACAAGGAGATGAACATTTCATGATTTAACTCCTAATTTGTGCTTTAGATATAGGTTGAATTTTGATGTTTCTGCCAAGCAACACTATATCAGTATTACACTATTTGATGCTGCACAATACTTCTTTGGTGTCGACGTCAAGGAGTATATTCAATCTACATCTGAAAAGGTTACACTCCTATTTTTTAAGCCAAAATATACAACCCGAACAAATTTATGACATATTTAATCAATTTCTAACTATTTTATCTGATTTTTCACAACTATAGAAAGAGGATCCAAGTACTATCGCAAGTTGGTATTGAGTAAAGGAAAAAAGTTTTGTTTTCTTGTGAAAACTCATCAGAAAATTGCAAAAGAAGAAAAGAAAATGAATTTGATAGCTGCAGAGATTCATGAAGTTAGAAAAAATGCTGCAACTGGTGATATAGAAGATGGAGATATATCAATAAAGCTAAGAAGCAAGAAGACAAAGAAAGATGAAGATAACAATGAAGAGGAACACCCAGTTACTAATAAAAAGTTCAAAGTGGAAAATATTTAGTTTGTTATTATCTAAGAATTATATTAGCTATGATCATTGTTAGATGTTTTACTTTTTTAACAGGAGCAACTTCAGCTGGCATGGCTTTAAGAGTGTTGTTTACTTTCCAATAAGTTATAAATTTCCTCATTTTCTATGCATTCGATGTGTTCACTTTACTTTTACCTTACAGATTGACTATATTCTTTTGTGGAAAAAACAAAACTACATTCATTCAACAATAAAATATGCATCACATAAAAATTGAAGTGTAATGAGTAATAAAAAACTCAAAGAAAATATGAACAAATTGAAATTAATGAGCAATCACCTTATTGGAATGATGTCTTTGCTGAACGACATATAATTAGATATTGTCCGAACCTGCAAAATTAAATAACTAAATTTTGTTAGGTATATAAAATGTATAAAGAGTTAAATTTTCATGTTATTAGGTGCAAACATGTAATATATTCAAATCGTATTTAATATTTCCTTATAGATAATGTTCTTGGAGGCCTGCTCCATTAAAAGCAATTGCTCAACTTACATGAAAATATATTGGAGGCCTGCTCCATAACTCAGCCCATTCCTTATTAACCACTAATAAAGGAAAATCTTTGTTTCTTTTTTCTTATTTTTCATTTTCTTTTTTATGCCAAGAGAGGAGTACTGGGAAAATATAAACATCAATATAGAATCGATCCATCAATAAAATGAGTCAATGAGCAAGAAAGAGATCAATAAAAAAGATAATGATAAAAAAATAGTGACGATAAGTTGCACACCCATCCTTGAAACATCCTCTTCTCTAGAATTTGAAATTTATTTAGTAAAAGGAAAAAAAGAAGAAAAGAAGAAAAAAAGCAGGAAAAAAATGTCATGAAACTTCTAATAAAGCTCATTATTTTACAAAGACCAAATTTCTCAAAAATTCATTGGCTAGTCGATTAGCTTGATTAAGATCATTTCACAAAAACTCACAAGCTAGTCAATTTTCTTGATTACAAGAAAGCTGATATATATGTAACGACCCGAGCGGTTGTTTTGAATAAGTACAACCTCGTTCCTCATATACTGCTAAATTCATGCTTCACGGTTCTTATGTAACTTGCCGGGGGAAATAGGTTCGGAAAGATTTTTGAAAGGAATTGAGACACTTAGTCTCCAAGAAGAGAGCTTAAGTTGAATTAAATTGATCGGAAGGTGAAATATGAGTAAACGAATCCGGAATGGATTTTTGATGATTCCAGTAGCTCTATATGGTGATTTTGGATTTAGGAGCGTGCCTGGAAAATTATTTGAAAGTTTATAGTTCAATTAGGCTTGAAATAGCGAAAACGGGAAGTCGCAATTTAGAAGTTTGACCGAGGGATTGACTTTTTGATATCGAGATCAAAATCCGACTCAAGAAGTTGGTATTAGCAGTATTATTAAATCTTTACAATGCAGACTTCTGCTTATTTAATTCTGTTATTATCTAATTGTTGGCTCTTAACCGCTATCGGATTAAAAATGGAAATAAGGTAGATAGTTCAGTTGGTTGGCTTGCCCATCTTTCACTAGTAGGCGCTATCACGGCTCCCTCGTGACAATATACTTCTGCAATTTATTTGCCGATGAAATAATTAATAACATTACAAAGTGATACTAAATAAAAATTAGCATAAACAAAAATATATAGTTTCATGAATACTCATAGAAATAATAAAAGAAAATGAGCATACCTAGTAAATCTGCAGCTTTCCTGGACCATTTATAAAAATGATCATTGATCAGAAATGAAACCAAAAGTTCTTCAGGTAACATTAAACTGTTAAAGCTAGGAGATGAAGGGTATAGATCGTGATAAATACACTTTCAATCAACATCTCACTATAGTAAGTACTTACCATTTAATAGGGTACCAATGTACAACCAACTTACTTTTCTGTTGGCCAAATGATTAATGACCATATTGGATGAAACAAACCTGACATTCCATAGGGCCGAGAATAATTAGCAGAAGATGAACAGCTCTTCACAAATGTTAGAGTATTCTAGAAATGATTGACCGTGGTAAATAATCATTTAATGAATTTTAGTTTTGGTTAAAGGCTAATTTGGTCATTCAGTTTTAAAGGATATTTTTGTAAAATAACTTCACCAAAAGTTTTCAAACTTATAATATAGTATGATTCAATGATCCAACTCAGCTTATATGTGTGTGTCGCATGAAAATAGTATGCATTTCATAACTCACTCTTCAGAAGCAGAAGCGGCCCTTCTCTAAAGCAGGTAAAGCAATTATTTTAGGCCTCATTTTTTGTAACACCTGATATGCTATATATAAGTTAAAAAAAAGTTAAAGTGAAGTAATAAGGTTTGATTTCTTTCTTTTTCTTTAACATATATAGAGAATAAGGATTTGCGATTGTTATGATTTCTACCAAGGAAATTGCATTTGAAATAAATATCGAAGCCTAATTTCGTAAGAAACATGTGACTAGGAGTGGCAAACGGGCGAGTCAGATATGGTTCGGGTCGAAAACGAGTAATGAAAAAACGGATCAATTATCCGACCCGGCCCATATTTAATACGGATAAAAAATGGGTTAACTGGCAGATAATATGAATAGTCATATTATTCATGACTTTTGCATATGATCACTTTTGGGAGAATTCTTAGTCTCCCTAACCAGAGAAACCCCCAATTTGAGGCTTTACAAATGTAAAAGTTAGACTCATGGGTTATCCATTAGTTACCCATTGGTTATCCATATTCTAAATGGATAATATGGTTCTTATCCATATTTGACCCGCTTTTAAATAGTTCATTATCCAACCCATTTTTTAGTGAATAATATGAGTGATTAACTATTGTCTTTTAACCATTTTGCC